AGATACATTCCTTGCTTGAACATCTGCTGTGTACAGCGGGGTCGATTGAAGTTGGTGTCAAGGGAGAGGAAAATGATGATGTTGATGTTGAGGAGGAAGATGTTGATGCTGAGGAGGAGGATGTTGAGGAGGAAGACCGTTGAGGCCAGAACGCAGACATACACTTTGTGCGAGCCTGCGCAGTGGAAATGCACTTCAACGTGTCACAAGAGCCACACCATACGGAAATTTACAGGTGAGAATGCCGCAGACCAGAGTAAGCACCCAGATCAGGCACCGGCCTTCACACCTACCGTAAGAACCCCTCAGTGTGGACTGACTGTTTGGGGAATCAACAGACAGACTGCAACTGCCTGCAAGCATGTCACTTCTGGACTTCTGGACTTCCGGACTTGTCGCTGGCCCGGGCACACGGGCACCCGGGCACAACCCGATCCACGAGCACACGGGCACACGGGCACACGGGTGCACACGGGCACACGGGCACAACCCCGATCCACGGGCACACGGGCACACGGGCACACGGGCAAGGGCCACCAGAGGATAATGCTCGCATATTGATGCATATTGTATAACCAACAATCAATCTGATATTTGGGTGTGTCTGAATAGGGGATGCTTACCCCCAACTAGAAAATTTGATCGGGAAAACGACGATTAACTAGCAATTTCAAAGCAAACGCAAGTGGCATCTGTAGAAGCCAAAAAAAGTACGTGGAAACTGTCTTGCTGCTGCTATGATTTGGCATGCCAATCAACTATCAATCAACTAGATCCAATATGATCCAATGATATAGCTGGTTGGTGGTTTCAACCCCTCTGAAAAATATATATAAATATGACTTCGTCAGTTGGGATGATGACATTCCATGACATTCCCAACTGAATGGAAAGTCATAAAACCAGATAAAACCAGCAACCAGATAGGTTTCATTGAGATCATCAGGACATTCATTCAGAGCTTGCCCGCCTGAGTAGTTGTAGGACAGCTGGAGATTTTGGAGACCTAAAGGGCACGGCACGCGTGGCTTTTGAGGTGTCGCCCCCAAGTGAACTGGTCATAGGAAAAATGAAGATCAACCAATGGATGGAATGGGGTACCTCATTTTCAAGCAAAGCCAGACCGGAGGACATCAATTGTCACTTGAATGGTTTGAGTTTCGAATCAGATCAGCTGAACGCACATGACCAAAGAGGCTGTCAAATGCACAAGCCGGTCTACTTTCCATTTCAAACACTTCACACCATGGTTCAAAAGTGTGTAATGTCAATCCCAAATTCGTAAACGATCAATAAACCCTGGTTGATTGTTTCGGGGGGGCCGTACCACAAAAGTGATACAGTCATTTGCAACCAAAATAGTGACCCCTGTAAGCCATCAATCTGAGGTCCACAGCATTCACAGGTCATAGCTCGGGAACGACAACCCCATGCTAACATTCGCACTGTTGGTTGCTGAAATCTGCTAAATTGGATCCGGCTGTCAACAAGTCCAAGACATTAATGCCGAACTGATGGTTGGATCTCACATGGTCACTTGTCCAGTTAGTAAGCATTCTAGGCTTCAAGGTCCCAAATGCCTTCGAGAATTGCGTTCCAAAACCAATAAAATATTTATGTACCTATATAATCTCCTACATATAAACACATACATATATACATATGTAGATACGATTAAATGCGTATAAATAATATGATATGATGTGTATCATTTGTATCTACACAAACTAATGTACATACAGTCTGTCTCAGCCCAGCAACGGCTCGCTGCAGGCCGTCGAAAAAAAAAGGCCGTTGGCAAAGGCTCGCCGGCTCCGAGCTGGGGCTTCGTCCATCTTCCATTTCCATACTATACCGGACTATAATAGTTAGTATGGACCATCATTAATAATGGTTGGTTTGTAATGATATACATACCATATTTATACTTGGTTTGTAATGATAGACCTAACTAGTTGACTCTGTTCATATAAAATATTACAGTAATTATCTATATTTATGTTTGTATCGTTTTGTAACATGTATCTATGACTCCAATCAACGAATGCAGCGTTCACGTCTGCAGCACAGCGCTTTCTTTGCAAATTCCGCTGCAGGACCGACCAGCTGTCGTGTGGTCTTTCGCTTGGTCAGACCCTCTCAGTCATGGTTGCAGCTGTACCACCAACTTAGTGTTCAGCTTCAAATGGAAACCACCAACATTCAGCACACTTGCTGCGATGGAAGTTTGCGGAAATCTTCACCAAATCTACTTATCTACTTGGATCTCAGAGTGTCTACTGGGAGCAGTGGACCTGGTCACCTTCCGAAAAACCTCTTCGGCACTGTCTTGGCCGTGCTGTTTCAATGCGTTCACTTCCACTCTCTTCAAATCTGTGGCACTGGCGCACGTCATGTTGTCACCGCCCAGACCATTTGTCTGCGAAGCTGATGTTTTAGGTGGTGCTAATGCTTCAGACTAACACTGGGCGCTGGCTGGGAGATTTCTGTGTGGGAAAATCAGAGCCACAGAGCCATGCCTTCTTAGGGTCTTCGGCAATGCAATCGTCAAGCAGAGACTCCACAGCAGGAATGATGGCCTGAACAAAGATTCAATGCTGTTTCTTGATATAATTTGACCACACAACAAAAGTAGCAGGAAATTTCAACAATAGTAAAGAGCTCCCAAAGACGGGGATCTTGTATGGGCTTCTGGAAAGACTCTCACTTCATCAGGCGTTTCATGGGAAACATGGCTGGAGAATCTGTGAATGGAACCAGAATCAACAAATCTGAGTCCATGTGTGCCATGGTCAAAAGATGGTATATGTGAAAATCTGATACGTGGTACGGTCATCCATCCCATAATAGGAATCCTTATCAAGGGTATATAAAATCATATAAAATCATATAAAATCATATAAAATCATATAAAATCATATAAAATCATTAAAAAAACATATAAAATCATATAAAATCACAACTATGAATGGATTGATCATCCCCTTTTACGGCGAAACAACCCATGTCAGCATCTGCGATCTCTACGGCTTCGTCCAAATCCAATGGCTTATGAGAGTTTTCCCTCTCAGAACTGCATTTTTGTGGTAAATACTTGTAAAATACTTCTAAAATAATGTAAATACCACATTTTTGGAAGAACCCCTAAAAGTAGTTATTCATATTTATTCATATTTATTCAATTTTCAGCCACTGCACCGGTTGAACGGGAAGGCCGCCTCTGCATCGTCGCCATGGAGTTTCTCTTTCATGAAGCTACAAACGTCTTCATTGCTCTTGACGTCCCAAACCTCTCGATCCAGCTGGGTCCCGGTTCTTGAAGGATCCCAAGGATCCCGCTGGGTAGCCAAAACTTGACTGATCGATTGAAGCCCTAAATTTTAACGAAGCCGAAAAGAGCTACATGATTCCGTCATAGAACCATCTTCGGAACATTTTAAACCCCCAATTTTTCAGGTTCCACCTGAAATTGTGGGGGTTTTAGCATGACCAAACCGCTTATGGTTTTCTGGATCCCAAAATTTGACCCACATCTGAAACCGAAGTCTGGGCTCCTGGCCCCGTCACAGGCCAGGATAATGAAGTCATCGTCCTTCATTCGTGGCATCTTTACAATGTCGGGCCTGAAGCATGGACAAATCGGATAGCTGGAAGATGCTGGAAGATTCCAAACACCCAATTTGAGCGCAATACAAGATATTTGATGGGTTAATTAATGGGTTAATGATCAACAATAGTGGTTAATTGTGGTTAATAGTGGGATAATAGTGGTTAATATACAACCACTCATTCCGAGGCCCCCAAACACCCCATTCGTCTTCTTCGTTCAAGTCTCGGCCGAGGATGCTACGTAGAACAAATCATTTGACGCTCATGCCCAAGTTCAGGGCTTTTCCTTGGTCCAGCGATTCGCCTGATTCATGTCCGAACCTAAACAATGCAACTTCATCTGGTTCTTCTGTGTTCTTCCAAGGTTCTTCCCTGCAATCGTCCAATATTTTTTCCCACAACATGAAAGTGGAATGATGCTTCAGCAATTGGCGCAGTGCTCCAGGGTGCACACTTGTACTCCAAATCACCGATGGAACGAGACAAATTCAGATTTCCGTTGACGCGGTAATGTACCTGCGCGCGACAGCACGACTTGCAGTGTGGAATGCAGAACGATTCACAGAAACTTTGTCAAACAGTGTGGACATTGGGTACAAGGACCCATTTGTTATCAAAACGATTCTCAATTTGAGAACCAATCGATATTGCCAAACAGATCATTTTCGCTGTGGACCTGGGACTCCTGGGACTCCTGGGACTCCGACACGAATTCCAACGGAGATCTCCTCAATGCGCCCACCGGCGGCTTCTATTCCTGGCCACGGGCCCCAAAATCCACCACCAGGCTTCCGAGTGAAGATTTTGAAGGGATTTCCAACTCTGCAAGTGCAAAAAGTCTGAGAATATGTGGTGATATGTGGTGCATATTGCATCTCTATCTCCTGCTTTTTTGCGCTAGCCTCACATTAACACCACGATATTTCCACAAAATGGTCGCAAGCAAAAAATTAGGACCCCCACTTTCTCGCTCGACCGCGTCATTGGGTTTGTGGTCTTGCGACAGTGCCACCTCAGTTGCACTTGCATGAGATTTCAAGAGTGAACCCATTTCCTCATCTGCTGGGTATGGTTCCTCTACAACGTTTCCGCTGATGGGTTTTCATTCTATTCTACTCGCAATTGCCATGATCGTGGCGGCCACAAGACTCTGTCATCCCCTGAGGGCTGTGCGGGTGGACCACCCTTTCGGCAGAGCACCGCTCGGGAGTCGCCAGCGTTGGCGCACACCTGGAACTGAGAATTTTTTGGGTTGGTTTTTGGGCAAAATGAAAGAGATTCAACCGACCAAAAGGATCCAAAAGGTGGATTCGAGGGGTTCAACATGATTTTATACTATTTAATCGATTAATTAATCATGAACGTGGTTTAGATTTACCACCAATAAGAGGACGATTCCCAAATTGTGTGGCTTAGGAGTAAACCCCGTGACATCTCTGGGTCATGGGCAATTTCATCCCGCGTGAGAAGGATGCAAACCGCAGTGCACCTCGCATGTCGTGGGAAATTGCCTTTTGCGTTTGTGCTAATGTGCATGATTTCCCCAGAATCGAAAAATCTCGAAGAAAAGACTCTTGTTGTTCTCTCCCCTTTTTGATCATGGGGAATAAAACACATTTAAAAAATTGTCGTGCCTCGAATGTCGCCAGTGCGACGCCAAATCGTTGAATATTCATTCAGGTTTCTGACCGCATTTTATGCATTTGCATTTGTGTGAGTCAAATTTGGGGATGCATATTTACCCATCAGAAAAGACGTCTATCACGGTGGCCAAAGGAAACGCGCATCACTCATCATCACTCTTCATGAATCTACATAAATAGAAACACACAAACTGGAGTAAAACCAGTATATAATAAACATTAATAAACATATTACATACACACAAAAATGGTCAGCGAATCAAAGCGAATCCATTAATCTAACATCCCCTGTATGTTGAAAACACTGGGTTTTGAAGATCCCCCATCTTCTGTGCTCACACCACATCCCCATTTATAGACATCTTACATCTCCACATTCAGCTCCGGACCCTACGTTGTCCGCCGCTCCAGTGTCGGGGCCTAAAGCTGGCGCTTTACCTCAGTCAGAAGCTAAGCAGCGGCTGAGACAGGAAATGCTATACATATATGTCTCCCGAAAGCTCCTCCGAAGGGTTTTTCCCAAAGAATTGTTGCCAAAATCAATTTTCCATTTCATCTACATAACATCATCCAAATCTCCTACATTCTTTACGTCACCTACATCTACATCCACTTCATCTATATTTACCATACTTACATCACATGCATCATTTAAATCATTCACGCAATCCCCATCTACATAACATACATCATCATCGTACAACATCTACATCTACATCATGTACACGTGATACAGGTGATCAAATTCGTAAAGTTCATCCCTAAGCCATGAACGCCAAGGTTGGCGCCAATTCACAGCCATTTTCCATCCATGAAATCTCCATTCTGTGGGAAAGATCTGCCCCCTAACACATTCACAGTTTCCAACCTGTATCGGCAATATCTCAAGCATCCAGCTCAGCAATCGTTAAAGCAAGTTCCTGCAGTGTTGCCACAATGTTGCAACTGCACCGCATTTAATCAAAGGCCCGGCCGCTGCCACCATGTTTCCTATCGAGAGCAAGTAAATGTGTAATTTCCATTCATTTCCTCTCTTGCACGCACAAGTGGTGCCGGTCAGTGAAGCTTCGCACATTCCACGAATAAGGAACCCAAAGTGGTTGGCCTCGTTGGTTGTGAACGGCATGAACACGTTCCACCAAGCATCTCTGCAACGGAGGGCCGCTGCCATCATGTTTTTATCGAGGGCAAGGAAATGTGAAATTTCCGCTCTTTGCACGGACAATTGGTGCCGGTCAGTGCCAACTGCACGGCACACGCCGCAAGCATATGCGTGGGCTTGCAAGTTTCGCACATTCCACGAATAAGGAACCAAAAGTGGTAGGCCTCGCTGGTTGTGAACCGCATGGGCATGTTCCACCAAGCATCTCTGCAACGGACCCCGGCAAGCAAAACAATAAAATTGGCAGTGTGAGCACAAGAAACACTCGTGATTGTTCCGTGGGCCTTGCTTGCAGCAGCAAAGAAGACAGTGTGATCAGTGAACAGCACATGTGGTTTGTCGGTAGGGATAAAAACGAAACGTAAAATTTGAGTCGATGCACAAGCACTGCTTCGGAGGCCCTCCAGAGCCTCCCCGGAGCAAGCTTGGACCTGCAGGCGTTTGGGCGTGTGGAAAGGTGCCTGCACCGAACCTTGACAACCAGGCTGTGCGTGCATGAACCCATGCAACTGCTCCTTTTCTGGTGGCGTGACAAGCTCAGCCCCGGCGTCGGTTTCGCGCTTGAGGCGCTTCAGGTCTCGTGCGATATGAGGGGTGTGGAGGCTGCGGGACCGGACAATGACTTGGCGCTGCTGCCACGTGAGCGTGCCACGAATCACACGATCACTTTGGGAATGGCTTTCGGGCCGGCAATACTTGAGCGCAATTTGCGGCGCGGCTCCATTCCGCTCACGCAAGATCGCTTGACCACGCCAAGGACAACGCGAGTGTGTCCCGCGCAAGATAATACAGACAAGATTCTCCTTCCCTGCAGGCCTTGGCTTGCAAAGCACGCGCAAAGACTGCTGGAGAGGCTTGTCAGCAAAATATTTGACAACCCACTCTTGAAATTTATTTTGCTTCACTTCACCTTCATAGTTAAGCGTCTCCGCGATGGCAAGGGGCGGCGCCGCAGCAGCGTGCCCCCGTGGCTTGCGGCCAGATGCCTTCTTCCTTTTCTTAGGCTCACCATGGTGGCGGCCTGCGAGCTCAGATGCTTGCAACTTGCCTTCTTTGAACTCTGCACGGCCACTCCAGGTGCAGGTGGCAGAGTCGCAGGTGAAGCACCTCAATTGAAAAAAGCAACCTTTTTTCGTGGCTCGGCGCGAAGCTTTAATCTGAATGGAACCATCCCCGACAGATGGCCCACTGGCGGTCAGGTGTTCATTGACAAGCACTTCCACGCGGAGGACGTCGGGCGCGCGTTGCAAATGTGCCTCAAAAAATATGCAACGCTCATACTTTGGCTCCGTGGCAGGAGGTGCGGCGACAGCAGGCTGTTCCGCGGCCAGAGGCGCTGCGCGCTGCTCCGCGGCAGGAGGCGCGGCAAGAGCAGGCTCCACGGCCGGAAAATTTCGCCCACGGGCCGCAGCGGGCCGTCTTCGCGCCTGTTTACCTGCGCCGGACAGAAGTGGCAAGCCAGCTGCTACCGGGAGAGGGCGTTCGGGCCAGCAGCTCACTGGCACTTTCAGCTTTGCAAGCACGTCCCGCACCTGAGGAGCCAGGGCTCCTCCGACGAATTTAATCGGAGGACATTGAAATTGCCGAGCATGTTCTCCGCGCGCTTGCGTCGTACGACATTCGCACAAGCCAAGCTCAGCCAGCGCAGTCAATAATTTTCGGCGCTCTTCCCCATCGCCGTCTTTGCAGAAGGGCACAAGGTGCTTGGACATATCAGTGTAGGTCAATGGGTCTTCAGGACATGCTCGCAAGATACGTCCAAGCAAATCATCCTGGCTGGGCAGGCCAGGCTGGGCTGCGTCGCCGGCCGGAGCGGGGGCTGTGTTCTCGGCCATCGCTTCTGCATCAATGACAGATGTGCCTAATGCCATACGCAAATCGAAGAAACGCATAGCTGCTTTGAAGCTGCACTCCGAGATTTCGCAGCCGCATGCTGGGTCCATGCTGCGCGCCATTATGTGGTTGAGCCCAGCATTGGCAGCGACCACGGCTCCCACGAGTTGGGTGCGTGCATTGCCACCATGAACTCCATGAGTTCTGTGGTCAAAAGCTCCGGCGTAGCCACCATTAACTTGAGCAATCGGCTCATGACATCCTTCCAAGAGAGCCCAAAAAAATTGGAATTGGCTCGGCAACCACAGCGGCCGTGGGCCTGCACGTTGACCGCGCGCCATGCCATGGGAACTTGACCAATGACCTGCAAATCGGGCTCCAGCATCTTGGCTTTGGGCGGTAGAACTGAAGAAAGTTTGGTTGATGCTACTTTGCGGTGATGAGAAGGAGGAAGTCCGTGGCAAAAGTCCTGCGCGTGCAAGAAGGGCGACTGCTCCATGCCCAGAGCTGTGCCTGATCCTGAAGGCAAGAAAAGGGTTTACCTCGGGAACCTAGGAGCCTAGACTGGGCGTAAATACAACAGAACCAAGCACAAGAAGAAAGCTCAGGCTGGAGACGACCAGCCGGAAACCGCAAAAAATGTATGCCAAGGATTCATGGAAGAGATTGACGCAGGATGCATAATTGCACTTAAGGGTCCTAATCTTGCTCGAAAGTTCCAGCTTGAAAGTAGAGCCATGTCCTAAAGCGGAACAAGAACACAGAATTCTGCGCCACATTTCCCCACACATCATATTGGGAGCGGCAGCCGAGCGTGAGGTGACGCAAGCCTCTGGTTTGTCGAGGGAGTCGCTGTGGTGCTGGCAAAGCTTTGAAGTTGGACAAGCTGCGGAAGTGTGAGCGGTTGCACTAAGTCATTTCTCGATGATCACGGCAGCAAAACCCGTAGGAGAAAGCACCCCGAAAGTAATCATATACTCATTCGTGGACAGCGTGATCCCGGACAGCATGTTGAAAACGTGGGCGGCTGCACATGTTGACAGGCTTGTGAAACAATGCAACAAAGAAAGCACAAGTTTGCGACCAAAACTAAACCATGCTGAGCGCTAAACCCATGTTGTTTACCATTGCGTGGTGGCGTTCCTCAGCCAACTCCTCTGCCTTTCGCAGCTTAGCCGAGGAGATGCAATGAGACGCTCAGGTGGGCCTCTTGAAAGACTTGAGCGCTGCATGACTCAACTGACAGTTTTCCCCAAAAGCATCCAAATTTTATCCTTTCAACCATGAACTATGAGCTGTTCGGGCCCCAACTTTGAGAACCTTTCGGTCCAACACCTGGCAATCAGTTTTTGCAGCACCGTGGCTCCTCTGTGTGTAAAGAGTCTGTGTGTAAAAGCTTTTGTGTGTAAATAAGGGCTGCTCTGTGTAAATTTGTGTAAAAGTTTCGGTGCGTAAAGGCTTCTGTGTGTGTGTGTAAAAGCTCCTGTGTGTAAAAGCTGCTCCGTGTGAAGGCTTCTGTGTAAAAGCTTCTCTGTGTAAAAACTTCTGTGTAAAAACGTCATCTCTTGTGATTCTGACTGTGCCTCTGGTGCCAGCCCTGGAGCTTCTGTGGGGACAAAAAAAGCATCAAACTGTAATTTTTAAATGTATGACATTTGACCACGTCATTTTTATCAGTCACCACCACCACCAGCAGCAGCATCAGCATCAGCATCAGCATCATCATCGTCATCATCATCATCATCATCATTCCGATCGTTATCCTCATCCTTCATCATATTTTCTTGTGTCTTATCTTCTCATCTTCTCCCTCCTGCTTTCTTTGGGGCCACACTGTCGTCTAGTTCTAAAATGTATCATATTATTTTATATAGATTTTAACAAACATGGCAGTGCATCATACCCACCTGTCGATGAACTACAAACTGTGCTACTGAAAAATAGGATGACCATGGGGATGTTTCATTGCCAGGTTAGATGACCGCGGGGTATCTCACAGTCTCCAAGCGCTTCGTGACTTTGAGCCGGGTGCTTTCTAGCTTCCTCAGCAGCGCCATCTTCATCATTACCTTGCAATGCTGAGCATTGTTTTTTTACTTTCATTACTTTGGCTGCTTTTTCCATTCATATAGTCCCAATGATGTTGGAAGGTCCAACAAAAAACATTGTGAGCCCCTGTCATCGGTTGGGCAGCTTCACACCAACACAGCTAGTGCAGCCAGTAATTCTGAATGCTCAGTCACACATTGAGTCCATGCCCCCGAGCATCCCCGAGCATGACAACCCGCCTGTTTGGCCTCATCCCGAGATAAAGAGCCTTTGTCTCGTGCCTGGAAATCTCAGCAGTTTGTTGTGGAAATCTGCTCCTGCCTTGCCTTGTTTGGAACTATATATAGTGCTGTCTCAACCATTATGAAATACCCCTCCATATGGGAGCCCAAAGGGAAGAGATCCAATAACTACCAAACTACTAAAGCAGGCTTTCTAGGCAGTTCGTAGTAAAGGGATCGGATTGCTACCCAGCAATGGACCAATGGGATATTCAAGTGGGAACAAACGATGTTTCAAGAGGGTAAATGAATGAACGTTATTTTGTTTCCTTCCATGCTGTTTCGGATAAGACAGTTGCATCGCAAGATATTGCAAGAAGACAACAAGATATACCAAGAGCATTTCTGCTCCTTCAACCCTACCCCACCTGTGCCAAATCAGACTCGATTGAGTTGGACAGCAATGAAAGCACCTTGGAAATTCACCAGAATCAGGCGGAAACATGCACAAAAAAATGGGCAAATGACTGGCTACTAGTACTACAACCTTTATGGTTTCACCTGAAGGCACTGGGAAACTTGATATCTCGCGCCTTTCGTGCAGATTTCGTCGCGCCAATCCACAGGAGGCGTCAACATCTTTGCTGGTGAAATACCTTGTGTTTGTTGCTTCAAGCAGCAGACTCCTCTGGGTTTCTGCGTGGGCTCCTCAGCCTGTAGCCACAATCGGGGCATCCCCTGAAATAGATACCATCTGGCTATGACTAACATTTTGCCATGGAAAGATCCACCCATTTTTTATAGGTAAACCATGGTAAACCATCTATAAATGTTTTTTTTCCATGGCAATCTGTTAAATAACCAGAGGGTAATGGCTTTTGATCCATCTCCATATCAAAAACTTGCCTTTTCATGGATATATAATGATATATAGTGAGACGAAGATGGTTCTTTCTCAAACATCGGATCTGATTGGCCAAAGATGATGTTCGATAGATTGCGGTCACACACTTGCTTTGCACAGCAAAATCGTTGCTACCCTTCTGATCCTTCACATGTGCTGGAGATGCCTCCGTTCGGAGGGATTTCCCAGCCATGTTTGATGACACGAGGGTGCCTCTGCAGCCTCTTCTGCGTCACAAGAAGAGGAGGATCCTTGCCGGCCGATTTTTTAGGGTTTGTTGGGGTCGGGTCCTTAAACTATGTATGATTAATCTTATTGAATCCAAAAAAAATCTCTGAACACTGCCCAGCAGCAATGCGTTTGTCTGAAAATAGGCACCATTTTATCTCATGCTCAACTTACTGGTGATGCTTGGAATGGGATGATTATTACTAGTGATTATGGATCATTCCCGAAAATTCCCTGCGTTTAGCACCAGTAAGTCAATCACCATCACCGGAAAATATTGGCAAATCGATCCATCGTGGGGGCAAACCTCCATGGTTAACTCCCAATCTCCTGCAGCTTCGGAAGATGAAGAGCCCTGGCCTCTCGAACATTTCCAGCGGTGAGGGGTACAGTATGAAGTGTAATATCATGTACCAAGGAATCATGTATATAAAAAATATACATATACTGTATGTGTATATATATATGCGTTCATGATTACAGTAATGGCTATTTTATACATATGTGTAACACACCAGTATGTGTATAATTTATAATCATGAGATACAATATGGCATGTTCAGACATATTCCCATTTTAGTGATTGGTAAATGCTTGAAAAAAACATGTTCTATCTGCTCCAGATGACTATATATTAACAAATATATATTTAACAACCATGAATTGTGACCAAAATTCAATATAACTTTCAAATTGGGTCTTTATAGCATTTACGATCGCCAATATATATATATATATACAGTAACCATGAATATCAATATGTGGTTTCATGAAAGCGGATCCTGCAAAAGTAGGGATGGTGAATCGGAAGATTACAATTTATGGTTTGTAAATGGCTTTTGTCTGAGAAT